CCTTATACTTATTCTCATCACAAGTTTTATTTCGAGTCCCGCATGAGCAGCAGCCAGCCGGTCGCGGCTGCTGCTAAACCAGCCAAATTTTTTTTTGCAATACGCGCGAAAACTGCCGAAGCACTTTTGCCTTTGCCTGGCCTGTTCTTGTACTCACACTCTATCCTAGTTTCATGTCAGTCACACTCACACACACACATACACTCACACCGCCCGTAACGCATCCTGTTGTGTGCCCCTTCGCCCGCCGCCGCAGGGTTTCGACGAGTCGTGTCTGTCCATCCTCAACAACTTCTACAACGACGGCATGAAGTGGCACGACGTGGCCTGCTACCACAAAAAGCCCTTCGTCTGCGAGGACAGCGAGCAGCTGCTCAACTACGTCGCGTCGCGCAATCCCGGCATCCGACTCTGATCGACGACCACTTCCCACCAACATTATTATTAATCTAATTATTTGTGTCATTGTCATCATTCAGTTATTAACATTATTTATTTCACGAACTCTATCCTCGCCTCCTCTGTTGTGCTTCGTGTCGTCTGGTCAGATCTGGTCAATGTTTTCTGTTTTATTGTGTGTCTTTGAGGAGAGTTCTCCTTACCTTTTGTGAATATCAATCATCGCTCTTGGACGTTTCTGTCTTTCTTAGTATGTCCTACTTTGTGTGTGTTTAAATTAAAGTAGTTGTGTGGCTATTTTTTCTATAACTTTGTGTGGTGTGTTGTAAACCTTCTTCCTTCTCTATGTTTGGGTTTGGGAATCAGAGTAGTGTTGGCTGTGGTGATACATTGGCTGTGGTACCTAGTAGTGATCTGTTTGAACATAAAACTTCACGCTGAAATTGTGGTACAGAATATACATACTATAGTTCTTCTATCATTACTGATGTATTATAGTTCATCAGCGCCACAGAGTACCTACTTACTTGTGTCCCTCTATACATGGTGACCATTTTACCCCGTTGGAGCGAATGGATGTATACTAGCCCGGATCCAGGAGTGCGGCCGGGTTGCCTATTCGCACGGGGCGACTGCATGTGGGCTCTAGTACGCTCATTCGCTCCGGCGGCTGAAAAACGGCCGCCCTGTATCCCACCCCTCCTCCCTGTACATCAAACTGTACAAACTTTGCGTGTACAAATTCTTTACAGCCATCTGAGATACGAAACAGGTTTGTGAATCCTTTTACCCGAGTACCTATAATAAGGTTGTTGGAAGCGGGGTGCTTCCCGCGGGGGATCGTCAAAATGAGGAAGACCAGCCCGGTCCAGCCGCAACGATATCAGTGGGTCAAACTTTTCCGCCCTCGGCCGCAGACCAGGACCAAAAGAGACTGGACCGTAAATAAAAAGTGACGTTTCAACGACATTTTAGGGGATCCGCCCCCCCCCCCTTCCCTCTTCGCATTCCGCGCGGTGGCCGTGTGGTCGTTTCGCGTCGGCTTTCATGGCACAATGGCCTTCTCTTGCTCGCGGCCGCCGACCCGCCCCGTCCAGGCCGCCCAGGCCCAGGCCGGCCGGCCGTTCCATCGCAGATCCTCCACTTCTGCTTTCTCTGTCACGATCCCCCTCGGGCGGCCTCCTAGGCCTCGCTAGAGCCAGCCCTACAGTAGTAAGGCGAAGGACCTGTGGGTGAGCGCGCGCAGCCTCAACCCCCCCCCCCCCCCCTCCCTCCCCCATCCATTTTGTTTTCACCTTTTCTGACAAAGGGGGGAAAAGTATGGGCGCAAACCGCAGTGGTGCCCCGTCATGCTATTCATGGGGACACAACGTTGTGTTGTTGCCAGCCAGAGAAAATGAGACGATGGTGGGTTCTTCTCACCGAGATTTAATGAAGCCCACTTTCCAAATTTTCAATAACCCCCTCTTAGAAAGTAATTTTACCACTTGTCGAAACTGAAGCATATTTTCAGCATGTTTGTGTCGCAGCTTTACCAACATTCATTGGCCGGTTAAAA